TTTTTTATGTTTGTTACTTTCTTGTAACATATGTAATCTTCAGGCGCTCATATTTTCTGCATACTCAAAAATTGACACGCGCCTCATCCCACTGCGTCATGACTCATTTCTCAACTTGTATCTAGAAGAGGGATCACCAACTACATCTTTACCCTCACATTTCTCTACCCTAAAATTACAAACAAATATTTGCTCAGTACCTAGTTTTGAGAAATTTGAAGTTTAAAAGTCTAACTTTCATTACATATCCAGCTTTTTCGAATGCAATTCTTCGATTATGCCGATAACGACTCCGAATAATCGTACGATTTTGATAGATCAGATAGAACGTTAATTGATTTCTGACTTCATGCTCTTAGTAACTCATAACGATCAAAAATACCAGACACAATTGTGAGGTGTGCTGACAAAATGAGTTTCTTCTCGCTGTCCAAGAATGGACATATCGGCCGAAAATCGACACTGCGGTCAGATTTATAGATTTCTAATTGATGCCACTTTGTTCAAGTCTACCATGTCTTTTATTCTTCCATACTTACAAATTGTACAAACTTCACCTATAAAGTTGATGTATCAATTTCCATAAGGCTAAAATCGGAGAAGTTACTCATTTTGTCAGCGCACTTCACAATTTTGTAAATCTAAGATGGCGACTTGTCTTCTTTTCTTTCACCAGGTGGGAATATCCAAACAAGTCGTTTGTAACGGCGTCGTTCATTGGCTGTCTGGCACTTCCGGCTTTCACGATGTGCTACAGCTACTCTCGAATTCTCTTCGTGGCGCTCAAAACGAGGCACAAACGCATGAAGTGGAAGCCGAGAACGAAGGAAAGTCGAATGTGGGAGAAGAAAGAGATGAGACTTTTGAAAGTAAGGCACACTTATGAAGTCATAATACATTTATTAATTGTTAGATCTCATAATGTTTAATTGGTTAGGTCTCACATGAATGATTAGATCTCATATTATTGCTGATACTTCTGAATGTAACAAAATACTATCAGGTCATCTTTGGTTGGGCCTGGTGTTCATTATTGTGTTTTGTTAGATCTCATAATATATGAGACAGCGTGGTGGAATCAGGCTCTCGTCAAAATAATCAAAGTGAAGAAACTTGCATTTTTCAGCAGGTTTGTGAATTTTTATCAAATTTTTGTTTTTT